TATATCCCTCAGCTTAAACGTCTACAAGTCCGATCTCCTCCTTGTAAATCTCCGATGTTCTTGTTTTAAATGTCCGATTGTCTCATTATACATGTCCGATCTTGTCGTTGTATAGATGTTCTGTCTTTTTGTTATACACGTCCAGTCTTCTGGTTATAAATCCCTGGTCTTCTCGTTTTACATATCCGATCTCCTCATTATGCATGTTCGATCTTCTTGTTTTACATGTCCGGTTTTCTCATTTTACACGTCCGTTTTTCTAGTTATACTGTCCAGTCTGCTAGATATACATGTCCGTCTTCTCGTATCTGTCTTGTCTTCTGGTTATACATTATACATGTCCGGTCTTTTCGCTGTTCGTGTTTTGTCTTCTGATTATACATTATACATGTCCGGTCTTTTCGCTGTTCGTGTCTTGTCTTCTTCTTATACATTATACATGTCCGGTCTTCCATTTCACGTCTCCGGTCTTTTAATTATACATGCCCTGTATTCTAGTTATACATGTCCGGTCTTTTAGTTATACATGCCCTGTCTTCTAGTTATACTGTCCGGTATTTTAATTATACATGCCCTGTCATCTAGTTACACTGTCTAATCTTATAGTTATACATGTCCGGTCTTCTCGCTGTTCGTGTCTTGTCTTCTGGTTATACGTTATACATGTCCGGTCTTCCATTTCACATCTCCGGTTTTTAGTTATACATGCCCTATCTTCTAGTTATACTGTCCGGTCTTTTAGTTATACACGCCCTGTCTTCTAGTTACACTGTCTAATCTTATAGTTATACATGTCCGGTCTTTCAGTTATACATGCCCTGTCTTCTAGTTACACTGTCTAATCTTATAGTTATACATGTCCGGTCTTTTAGTTATACATGCCATGTCTTCTAGTTATACTGTCCGGTCTTTTAGTTATGCATGCCCTGTCTTCTAGTTACACTGTCTAATCTTATAGTTATACATGTCCGGTCTTTTAGTTATACATGCCCTGTCTTCTAGTTATACATGTCCGGTCTTTAAGTTATACATGCCCCGTCTTCTAGTTATACATGTCCGGTCTTTTAGTTATACATGCCCTGTCTTCTAGTTATACTGTCCGGTCTTTTAGTTATACATGCGCTGTCTTCTAGTTATACTGTCTAATCTTATAGTTATACATGTCCGGTCTTTTAGTTATACATGCCCTGTCTTCTAGTTATACTGTCCGGTCTTTTAGTTATACATGCCCTGTCTTCTAGTTATACATGTCCGGTTTTTAGTTATACATGCCCCGTCTTCTAGTTATACTGTCCGGTCTTTTAGATATGCATGCCCTGTCTTCTAGTTACACTGTCTAATCTTATAGTTATACATGTCCGGTCTTCTCGCTGTTCGTGTCTTGTCTTCTGGTTATACGTTCTACATGTCCGGTCTTCTATTTCACATCTCCGGTCTTTTAGTTATACATGCCCTGTCTTATAGTTACACTGTCTGATCTTATAGTTATACATGACGGTCTTTTAAGTTATCTATACCAGGCCTTCTCGTTTTCTTCTCTGTGCTTACATATGAATTAAAATAATTAGTTATTCTGCCCTTAATATCAAGAAAACTATAATATCAGGTATATATTATATGATTCTCATATCTTCGAATAGGCACATATGAAGTAACAGATTGCACGTGAGATGTATTTGTCTGGAGCTGGTAGATCAAACCGTGTTATAATATCCCGAAAGTTCAAGTAAAAAGCTGGCATGTATGTGTGTGTAGGTTAGAGCTCATAATTCACACACATATATGTCTTTCTTTTTTTACTTTTATAACCGGTTTGATCTACAGCACCTGACAAATATATTTGACGTGCACCGTGTTACGAATGTTAACAGATAAGTCAAAGTAATTCACACATTTATATGTTAGAAATGTAATATTGTTAAACTTTGCGCTTTGCCCGAAGATTGACAAGTTAAAACTAATGTGTGAGCCTAAATATAAAGCGAGACCATAGACCATCGTTACCTAAAGTTAACAAGTTAAGAAATATCTGTGTATGTTTAGATTCGAAATTTAAGGCTTCACCTTGCGTTACCTCAACAGACGAAAAATTGCATGTGTTTTAGGTTAAAAGTAAGACACTACATCATGCTACATCGAAGTTACAGAATTAAAGAAATATGAACGTTCTAAGTTAAAAGTATGACGTTATATCGTGTTACACGACAGTTAATAAGTTAAAAATCACGTATCTTTCCAGGTCAAAAGTTAATGAAAGTTAATAAGTTAATAATTACGTATCATTCTAGATTAAAAGCGTGACGTTTCATCGTATAAGTTACCGAGTTAAAAATTACGGACGTTCTAAGCTGAGTGTTGTGTGATGTTTTATTATGCTACATGGAAGTTAATACGTTAAAAAATATTTGTCTTTCCAGATAAAAGTGTGACGTTACATCACACTACATGAAAGTTAATAAGTTAACAATTAGGTAGTTTTCTAGAATAAACGTGTGACATTATATCGTAATACATAAAAGTTAATAAGCTCAAAATTACTCACATTATAGGTTAAAAGTATAACATTATAAGATAGTTAGTGCAAGGTAGTAAGTTGAAAACAGCGTTTTGTCTAGGTTATAAGTGTGATGCTAGATCATGCTTACGTGGATGTTAAAAAGGTAAAATCCAACGTATATATCTATGTTCAAAATGTGATGCGTGTAGGAAGCACCTATTTCATTTTACTTGGTAATAATGAAAACTTAGAAAATAATTTAGGTTTGAGCCTGTTTGTATGATGTGAGTGGTTGCTTGGTTTGTATATCGTATTTAAATATAAGATCAACTCACTACGATAAAAGTAATCTAGATAACTGGAGTGTTCAGGACCCTATTTACGAAGATGAACTCATGACCCCACATTTGTCAACCAATTAAAAAAGCACTATTCTAAAAAAAATTGCTAATATAATAATAATAATGTAATTCTATACATATTGTTTATTTTCAAACCGTCATAGCTTTAAAACACTCAGTTACAAAACCTGTAGAATACCAAAATAAAACCGAAATGCTTTTGTGCTTTTCCTGTACCGCAAGCAGCCAACAGGGAAATTGAATATATTAGTATTCATTCAAAAAAAGAAAAAAGAAAACTTTAAAGAAATATTTATTATTTATCCTCCTCTCATCTTTTTCCCATTCACTTTAGAACCGTGATCTCCCGAAGGTCGTGACCCATAGTTTGAGAACACCTGACCCAATGATTGCTGTTTCACACCACAAACTGGAAGAAGGAATCAAATTAAATGTCAACTGGGGGTTAGAAGGGACACACTAAGGGTCAAGGTTACACATTACAAAGCGTATGAGGAGGTTAGAGGGGTACACTAAGGGTCAAGATTACACACTACAAATGGTATGAGGAGGTTAGATGGCAACGGGCGGGTTAGAAGGGGTACATTAAGAGTCAAGGCTAACACATTATAAAGGGTATGAGGAGGTTAGATGTAAACGGTAAGGTTAGAGGGGTACTCTAAAGTCAAGGTTACACACTACAAAGGGTATGAGAAGGTTAGATGCCAACGAGTGGGTTAGAGGGGGTGAACTAAGGGTCAAGGTTACACATTATAGAGGTTAGAGGGGCTACACTAAAGGTCAAGGTTACACACTATAAAGGGTATGAGGACGTTAGATAGCAACGGGCGGATCACGATTTTTTCGCTTGAAACAACAAGAAATAATCAGAATAAAAGTTGATATTAGACGTTATGTTATAAAAATTTTTGTCATCAATACACCAGACTCTTCTGAAATACACAGTTTATTGTTGTAGTATAATATATTTTAAATTTCATTGGTGTAATGCTCATTAAAGTAGCTATAATTAATATTTCTAAACTGAGAAATGTAATGAGCTGTAATGTGTTGTATGTTGTAACACACATTATTGTAATGCTCATTAATGTACCTATATTTAGTTTTACCTAGCCTACAACAAGTAATGAACGGTAACAGGATGTAACGTTCATTGTTGTGATGTGCTTTAATGTACGCACTTATGATTAGTTTGCCTAATCTACAACATGTAATGAAACGTAACGTGTCGTAACGTTCACTGCTGTATTGCTCATCATTGTACCTGTAATTAGCATTCGCTGGTTTACAACATGTTATGAACTGTGACATGTTGTAACGCTCATTGTTGTAATGTTCATCAATGTACCTATCAATAGTTTTCCTAAATGTGGCTACGTGATGCTGTGATAGTAACTAATGTATAATTTTGTTCAAATGGCCAGTAATTAAGTTTTTGCTCCCAAACTAAATAGACGACTGTGATGAGCTATAAAGGACCTTAATATAATGATCTTTGCACAAAGTTTGTAATTTATATATTTTTAAAGCCATGACCAATGCCTTTAACATAACTATTCGTCTCAAACATGTAACCAATGTAATTAATGACTTTATTTTAAAACTCATCTTATTAAACATAGATACTTTTAACAATTATTATTTATACAATAATACTGAACACCTTTGACAAATGAATGTATAACTAAGCCGTATTTTCTTTAAACTATCCAGCTTATTCATAATATCTCCAAACAAACTTCTATCACAAGTACTTAAGGAAACATGTTTTTTAAATGGTTATTAATGTATGATCTCATTAATTGTACATAATCAATTAATAAATTATTATATATTAATTACTGAGTCCATACTATTGTTAATTTCAGTCGAAAACTTCCCAAACAGATTCAAATTGGTTTTTCTCAAGATTTCAGAACTCAGATCCAAGAAGTGTGGCTGGCGTTCTTTTACTCTGTAGTCCTCTATGTAGTCATCAAAATACCCAATTATGGAACGTCTAACACAAATTTATTAAACCGAGTTACAGTTTGTATGTAATTTAAAAAAACAACAGTGAAACTAGTAATCTTTCAAACTAACCAGAATATTAATAATTAGATAAGAACATAAAAATCATTTTGCAAGAAACTTTTACTTACCAAAGGTTACAAAAGGAAGACCTTTATAGAGTAAAACGATATTGACCAATGGTCAGTGTTCAGTTCTTATGAATATTTCAATATTTCTTCTCGCCGTGTGATGTTTGAAACAAACACTGATAACAAACTGTCCAATAGTAATGTTTGAAAATGTTTTTTTTTTATGAATTCAATTCTTCTAGCACCGGTTTTTAAGAATCGCTGAGTTTGATTCTTTTCTTGTCTTTTATTTTTAAAGGAAGCACGTGTTAAAGCACCGTTTTTCTACCATACTCTATGTGTGATACAGCTCTGTAAATGCAGAAAAACTGGCCAACGTCGTGGCACAGGACCTCCAAACCTAGAGAAAGGTAACAGGAGTCTCCCCAGCGCAGGCTGGTTCTTTTAGAAGGAAAGTTACGAAGTCGAAGTCTTAGACCGGTCATGAACCAGTTTTAGAGCGACTAGAACTAGAAGCGTCCGTTTAGTCAGTTCAACTTTAGTAGTTACAAAACTTCCTTAAAGCACCCTCCACTAAAATAAATATTAGAAATGTTTAGACTGCTCAGGGTAGAGAAGCACAGCCTAGCTCTGTATTACCTTCTTTTGACGGTTCGGTTTGAGGACAACTCTGTACAGTTTTCGATGGGCTGACACAACCTGAGCGAACGAATGTGGGTATCTTCTTGCAAGTGTGTGGGCGAAGCTAGACACCTTCGATTAGTTTCTCTAGCCAATCGTGCATTTCTGGAGTTTCCTAACGTACCTTCCCACGAGTTTCTCAACCAATGAGCAGAAGTAAAGAAAGCACGTAATGTACGCGTGATTTATGATGAAATGTGAGATTCAAAATGGCTTCTAATCGAAATTGTTCGATTTGTTCGAAATGTCACAGGGCAGCTGAATCCGTTGCAACTCTTTTTCCTCAATACTTCAAGATTTTCCACATGCTGTTCTTGTAATGTAAAGTGCTAGATGATATGCTCGCCTCTACTGAAATAGCAATCTTCCTGTAAGGTGTAGTTGTAGTTGACTGAAACCTCCAAGGTAGGAGAACGATACCAAATATGTACTTTTAGTAAGTGATCAGAAACCCCTGTAAAGATGCTTTTTCGTAAAACAGTAATCTCTCACAATGTTCTTTGAAACTACGTATAAAGTTTATTCGCTTTCTGTTTCTCTTGAAATAAATTTTAGAATCGTAAGCTATTTAAATGCAATTGTATCAGTTTTGAGAGATGTAAGTAGATATAATGAATTCGGTTTATTAGTAGTACAAAATAAGCTGGTCTATTCCACTACAGACGTTGTCCAACAACCAGTTGTTCCAACTGACTGGCATGCAGCATAAACAACTAACAGCTCTTATGGTTGATCGACAACTGAATGAAGCTACAAAATACAAATCTCTTCCATCTATTCCGAATGACTATCAATTTATATAAAGCATAAACAACTGCCAGCTATCCTGGCACAGCACGAATAATTTACTTTAGATAACTTTACTGACAACTTATATACGTAATAAAAATGTATCATATATTCTGGCCGACGACTGACAACGGAGTTACCAACTACACAACACAGCATGAACCAAAAATTGACATAGCACGACATACACACTACCAGGAGCCCGGCATGGCCAGGTGGTTAAGGCGCTCGACTCGCAATCTGCAGGTCGCGGGTTCGAATCCCCGTCACACCAAACATGCTCGCCCTTTCAGCCGTGGGGGCGTTATTATGTGACGGTCAATCCCACTATTCGTTGGTAAAAGAGTAGCCCAAGAGTTGGCGGTGGGTGGTGATGACTAGCTGCCTTCCCTCTAGTCTTACACTGCTAAATTAGGGACGGCTAGCGCAAATAGCCTCGTGTAGCTTTGCGCGAAATTCATAACAAACAAACAAACACACTACCAGATACTCTGACCAGCAGTTAACTAACACTAGACGGCATAAACAGTACCAAATACTCTGACCGACAACTGGCTGACACAGCACGACATATACACTACCAGATACTCTGACCAACAGTTAACTAACACTAGACGGCATAAACAGTACCAAATACTCTGACCGACAATTAACTAACACTATACGGCATAAACAGTACCAGCTACTCTGACCAACAATTAACTAACACTGTACGGCATAAAGAGTACCAGCTACTCTGATCGGTTGAATGACAATGCTCAGCATAAACAACTACTAGTTACTTTGATTTAAAACTAACTGACACTGCACGAAATAAACAGCTACCAGCTGTGCTGATGAGCTACTCTAATTAGTCGACTGACTGATATTAACCAGAACGGCCAACTAACAGCCATTCTGAGCAACCGCTTTAGGCTGACACTGAAACTATACACTGATATAAGCACTGCCAGGGACTTTTATTAACAGATCTAGTTTAATTATGATATATAGTATATGTATGCATTAGGCCTATAAGGGAAAGAACTCAACTTGTTATGATGTTAGTAGAGCAGAGATAAATCGCATAGGCTAAAATGCACCAGAAAATGTTCCATCCACATTAGAGTAACTTACATTCGGCTTAAAGAATTATGATGGTTCATATTCGATCTGCTTGGGTATGAAGTTACTCTTAGGTAATTGTTGGTCTAATAAGTTTAGCATTGACGTTCAGTTAGTCTGATGGGCTTAGCTCTGGCCTTACAACTACGGCCTTATTTTTACAATGTACCATTAGCCTAATGGGTTTATTACTAACCATGACATTATGATGTTCTGGCCTTACCGTTAAGGCATTCTGTTAACTTAACAATTTTAATATTGACCTTATGGTTATGACATTCTATTAGCCTAATGAATTTGGTATTTGTCTTACCATCACGATATTTAATTAGCTTAACGAGTTTAGTTATGACCTTGTCTTTATGAAGTTTCGTTAACCTAATGGGTTTAGTTCTGGGCGTACCATTAAGATACTCTGTTAGTATAACTAATTTATAACTGGCCTTATTGTGATGAACGTAATGACTCTAGTTTTGTTCTTACTATTATAAAATTCTGCTGGAATAATTCAAAACAGATAGATCCATATTTGGATATAAATGAGAAATCCCTGGAATATTACAAACCAAGATGTATATTTATGCATTTCGTGAGAGTACTTTCACAAAATGGGTGCTATTTCATGTCTGAGTATTTTGATATTTTTCCTAACGGCTTAGTTAGACAATTTCTTTATTGTTTTTTTATTAATACCTAACAGACTCTAAACATATTATTCCCGTGCTAAATATTGTTGACTTTAAATAAAATTGTTATGTCATGCCCCTTTTTCATAGCTCAGAAAGCTTAATGTAAGTTTCGTGTGTTCTCAATCTATTAACACCTTTAGATAGGCTAAGTTTTTGAATTTTATTTTCTTTCTTTTAAAGATTTCTATACGTACTTCGGGTTCTTTCAGTAGTTATATAATTACTTTTGTGTCCTTTAATGAAACTCGTATATTTAAATGAAATTAGAACAGCAGCTGTACAGAGAAAACGTCTTTCAAATTGCGGCAACCACGAGGCTTATGCTACTAGGTATCTGTGAGTGAAAGCTGAGAGCTATTTATCATTTTTGGTAAGAGTTTAATCTGTCATTCGAATTGATGTAGTTAACACCTAGGTCGTTTAAAACTCGACCTTTCTGGTCTCTAGGGGTCATCTGAGTGGCTACATCTAACACTTTCCAGATAAAGCAGTGGTAACAAAATGACGCGTTAGTTGATGAATGTAATGAATCGGAATGGGTGTGTTGAACTAATATTCTCGGTGCACGGCCTATACAGCAGGACTGCAGTAGCCACAACAGTTCCTTACGATTCACCTGGGACCAGCAGGAACGTCAGCGCAACATGAATTTGTAATGAGCTCAGCCGGTGCGGTAAGATCGATAAGGACAAAAGAAGTGCAGATAGAGAGGAGAGTTTCAGCAAGTGGATTCAGTGCAGATAAGCTAGAAAAGTTCTTGTTGCACCGTCGTCTCCGATAATCGCAGGGCCAATTATCAAAATAACGAAGCACGTGCACTGGTTTGAAATATTTCCACTATGTTACAGTCTCGTAGTTAAAATAGCCAAGTCTAAAACTCGGTACAAATAAAACTAATTGCTCGTAGGGAAATATGCAAAGTTGACGAAGGGTATTTAAGAAATAAACATAACAACTAATACGTTAACACAACAACCCATTATAGCTATTAAATCCAAGTTATCATCACTTAGAACGATAACACAAAATCAAAGAATAGTAATCTCTACAGTTATACTGAGAAGGATTCGTCTCATGGGGTTATCGGTAAAATCTATCTTTGGCCTTTCAAATGTAGTACCAATTCTCCATTATAGTTGTAGCAAAAGCTTTCATATCAACTTACGTTCTCTGCTTCGTACAAAGATTTATGCGCTCAGTAGAAACACTAGTTTCTTTTTATTTTCCCTTTGTATATTAATTTTATCTAAACAAGTATATTTATTGCTAGTATATATGTACATCACGTAAAACGAATGTTTATTCAGCAGCCTATTGTAATTAACAAAGCGTAATAACTTAAGTTACCTAGGCAATATTTACCGTAAAGAAAAAACAACAGAGTTTGTAATTACATTTCGTAATATCAAAAGAAACTGTGTGAAAGGAAATACAGATTTAGTGACGGCCCAACAAATCATGTAATATAGAACTGAAAATCGATCCTTCTAAGAAAAATAAAATACTTCTTGGAAGTTGTTGATTTTTCTCACATCAGCGTGATGTTATATCATAGCCAGTCTGCGTATATTTGCAGCTAGTGAGATATATATATATGTAGCTGTTATTAACGAGAAAACTCTCATTGGAATTAGTTACATTTAGGTTTAAGAATCTTTCACGTATTATATTATCGTTGCCCAAAGGAATCGAAGAGATGTTGTCTCTTTAGTGTCAGTTCCTGAGCGACATTTCATTGTTTGTTTGCTTGTAATTAAGCACAAAGCTACACAATGGGCTATCTGTGCTCTGCCCAACACTGTGGGGGCAACATTTCATATTTTCTTCTTAAAATAAATATATCAAATCCAGTGAAAATGCCAAGAGTCAACTGGAGTGGTGGGGCAAATAATTATATTTCCTGAAAATGGATCAAAAGTCAGGATAGTAAGATCAAGTATAACGAAGATGCATAGAGAGAGATGGGTGAATAAACAGAACAATAAAAATAAACAAATAAAATACATAAAACAAGAACTAGAGAACCATTCTACCTGTGTAGCATTATTGATTTTCTGCAGATGACAGGAATACAAAACCTTCCTTCAGCTTTCTGTCCTGTAAACCATGTGTCCCGCTGCGATCTCAGAACAAGGATACGGTAAGTAAAAACAATCAATATACCGGGATAACAGCTGAGGATTATTACATATATTGGATTTGATGGCGTTCTCTTTATAGACTGTCTACAACAAACACAGTGTTATTTTGTTTTACCCTACACGGTGATAAGTCATTAGTTATTAAATCCGAAAAGTTTCACTAAAATACTCACGCTCACATGTATATGTGTTTTTGCGTATGTGTGTGTGTGTGTGTGTATCCAGGTAATAACGTA